CTATGGGTCTCCATGAATTCAGGCGATTGCGGCATCCATCGATTCTGGCATCAATCTGCCATGTGTTTGCGGAGTAAGGGATCAATTGCGCTGGCAATTCGTGACGGTGAGGTCGGATGATTGGATTTGGTTTGGCAGATTGTCCTCATCAGCGAATCGATCTGTAGTATAGGCAAGGATCCGCCGTTGCGGCGACGACATTATGGAGGAGGGCAATATGCAGCGACATCGGCGACAACTTAATTTCCAGCGATGGCGACGTTAGGTTCTGATATTGGGTCGAGGGAGAGAGAAGGTCGGGCTTTTAGGATGAGAGGGGATGGCAATATGTAGCGTACATGCCATTTTGACTTTTCAAAGAAACTGGAAAGGCACTAAAGGACAAAAATAAAAGAAAGGTCACGTATTAAAATGGCATGCCATTGGGTTATTTGGGTATTTACCATCGTTGTGCGGCTATAAAAGTAGCATTAGATTAAGCATTCAAGGGATGCTTACTTAGAGATTCACATTCACTGAACACGTATTTGATACATGTCTACTTTCTTCTCTTCAACCAAATTTCTTCCCTGAGCCTCTCATATTTGTAATTTGATATTTCTAGTTTTTTTATTGCATTACGATAAATAACCCCTACAAATACTTATAATTTTTTATAAGTTATTTAGGAAAAAAAAAAAAAAAAAATTTATTAGTTGACGAGTTTAATGTGACTTTTTAATTTGTTCAATAAAAATTGGGAACAAGAATTTGTGTATATGCATGTTTGCCATTTTAATTAAAATTGGTGCTAATATTGTTTTGTTATAATATATAATAATTTAATAAGTATAAGATAAATATTATATTTTTGTTAAAAAAAATAAATAAATATTACTCCATACAAATTCTAAAGTTGAATCAAACAGAATTAGAATTCTAATATAATTAAAAAATAATAAATTGAACTAGAATTGTAATTTAATTCCATAACCAAACGTACCCATAGTCTTTTTTTTTTTTTTTTTCCATTAATAGATAAAAGTTGCCTATTGATAAAAAAACAAAAGAAAAAAAAAAAAAAAACAAGAAAAGGGTATATTTTACTAGTAATGATAACGTGAAATTTAATTTATTTATTTTTGTTAATGTTCTTTTTTTTTCTGTTAATATTTTTTCTAGATCAAACATTTATTTTGATGTTGATGATACATTTATTTTGGCTGCTGAACACAGTATGATGGGGGCCTTTTATGCACAAATGCTGAGGGTCTTTTATGCACAAATTGTGAGGGGCAAAATGGGAAAGAAAAGGGTAAAATGGGATTTTAAGTTTTACTTTTCGTAAAAAGTTGTCAGAGGGACCTGTTATGCACATTTTTTGAATTTTGAAGACTTGCATGCACTTTTTCAAAAAGAAGGGACTTGTTCTGCACAAAGTCTATATATGAGGGAGGTTTTCTGCACTTAACCCTTCATATATAGATGTCTGTGGATATTCAATTGACGCAAAGATACCTAGAGGCTATACCCATATTTGAAGGAACTTAATGGTTATTGGTTGCCTAATTTGATGTGGATAGTCATTTTTGCATTTGTGAGAGAATAATCCATGTTAAATGGTGCAAGTCCACTGTGGTTTCACCTCATCCAATGATGAATGTGTTTTCGAAGTGTGTGATTTATTTAAACGATTGCAGTATTAATTTAGAGTGAGTACTAAATTAAATTGTTTCAATGGAGCTAGACGGCTAGTGGATTAAGGTCGGAGTCACCTACATTAATATTAATTGCAGGATGAGCACCCGCATGAATAGACTACATATATATTGGACTTGTTTCACTGAGAGCCCAATAGGTATTTTTCGTCAGTACCACTTATCTAAAGCCCATGTGATTCATGTGAAGGACCAGATAGTTAAACCTATCATACTAGAAGTAGGGGAAGAGGGAGAAACATTGCAGATAATTAAGGGCAGTCTCATATGCATTCTGTTTTGGGGTTTTTATATTTATCAAGTAGTGTAGTAGTGAAAAGTTTAAAAAAATAAAATAAAAAAAAAACTTTTGGTAAAAATTATTTTTTTTGTGCAATATCAAAATGCTTTGTGAATAGTAACATTGCGCATAGTAGTCAACTGAAACACCAATTTGGTATTTTTATATGTTTCTGCATTGTACCGCTGAACAATAATTAAAAAAAAAAACTCGTAATTTATATTTTTTAAGTGACCATTATATTTTTTCGAACTTGCAATATTTTTTACTAAATATGTTTTCATGTTTTTGTTTCCAAAATTTTACTACAAATTACCAAACATGCTTCTGATTACTATTCAAAATACTTTACAGCAAAATACATATTTTATTTTGGATCAAAATATGCATAACGTCTAAAACGAAATGCGTACCAATCAAGCCCTAAACCTATCATAAAGAAGGTTTTTGGCGTTACAAAGTTCATCCCTGATTTTTTAGTTCATATCCTCTACACTTTTGTCTTTTAGCATTGTTGTTGTGATTATCCAAGGGTTTTATTTCCTTGATGAACAACAATATATACTTTGAAAAAAAAAAAAAAAAAAAGTAAAAAAGAACATCAATATATACTTGAGCAATGCTGAAATCCGAACAACTCGTTGTTTTACATACTGGACATGCACAAAACAGGTCACTTTACAGCAATAAAGTAAATCTCGAATACGAATTTGCATTCACAAGGAACAACCCAATCACGGCGGACAACACAATACTTACATTGTACAAATAATTACTATTTTTATTGATACCATTTCTATAGTTTGGTCAGACTTTCAGAGCGGCATGGTTCTAGTAAATAAATAAATATTTTTTCACTTCATTTCCATGTTTTAACTTAATTTTTTTCTTTCTTTTCTTTTTTGCTTTTTTATTTTTTGGACCAAGCAAGCCTAGTGCTCTGTGATCAACTCCACTAAGAGCATCTCCAATGGCATCTTTAAAATTTGTGTCTTCAAATTTGCCGTGTCAGCATTTTTTAATAGTCCTACATTCTAATATGCCTCCGTCCTAACAAGAGCATCGACCAATCCTTGAAATCTGAGGAGATGAAGGAAACTTTAGTCAATCCAAAGTTGGCCCCTGGAATAGCTTGCTGCAGCTCATCCTTGTCATATGTTTATTCCCTTTTTGTAATACTCGCAAGTAGCTATTTTTCAGTACTAGGACCTACATAAATTAATTGTCAAGAACAAATTTATAAAAGGACAGTCCATGTTCATGGTGACAGACAATTTGACCTTAACTCCTTTGTTTTCAATGTCAGGCTTATATCTTATTAACAGATTGAATATGCCCATGAGTGACAATTGGAGAGGACAAGGTAAATTAAACTCCACCTTTTGGTTTTTATAGAATTAGTTTTGGTATTAACAACACTGATCGAGAAGGATGTTTAGAAATATCAGTTCTCTTTCATAGTTGTACGTACGTAGTTCTATATATCATTAACAAATTATTGACTTTGCGTTTATTAGTGACTGCTTTCGTATCACTCTGACTGATGCTTTCATTCCAAATGAGCCAAAACAAGAACCATGCGGTAAACCTTACAGGAAAAGAAAAAGAAGCCCGAGGTCCCCTTGATGCATGAACAGAATTGAAATTGCCCTTACGAGTGCACTTGCACTGAGAATGTAATTTGGAAAAACTTTTATATAATCTAATATTCAATATTATTGATTTTAATTAATTAATTATCATGTTATTTTGAAATCTGCTTTTTATTTGCAATCAGGTTTTTAGCATCCTGCAGGGATCTGTTTCTATGCTAATACACACACACACACACACACACATGCATATATCGATGTGTGTGGATATTCAATTGACAAAATGATACCTAGAGGCTACTATACCCATATTTGAAGGAACTTAATGGTTATTGGTTGCCTAATTTGATGTGATAGTCATTTTTGCATTTGTGAGAGAAAAATCCATGTTAAATGGTGTAAGTCCACAGTGATTTCACCTCATCCAATGATGAATTTATTTTTGAAGTGAATGATTTATTTAAACGATTGCAGTATTAATTTAGAGTGAGCCTATGTTACCCGGACTCGGGTACGGGTATCGGACACGGGTACGTGTCTAGAGGTCGGATCCACCAATCTATTCAATTATAGGACACGGGGACACGGAATAAAAGTGTCCAAAATTCGGACACGGGTACTTGGACACGGCATACAAAATATTAAAAAATGAAAAATCATATTAGTGATAGTTTGATAGATTTAATCATATAGGCAACTAAGCATGGCATAAGGGGTAGCAACAAACAAGATAACTTAGATAAGTAAGAGATGATATTAATTCACAATTGTTAAATAAGTTAAATAACTAAATAAGTACCTTATTGAATTGAGTCAATTGACTGAATTCTCACACTTGCACCACATAGATTCGGATTTCAGCCTTCACTCTTCAGTCACACAGCATACAAATACAACACCACAGGTCCACAGTCAGACTCTGCACTTCAAAAGTTTGCACCTGAAAAGGCTAAAATATTATTTGAAATTTATGTTGTATTGACATTAACATATTGTTATGAACTATTGAACTTATGAAAAAATAGAAAAAAATAAACAAATACAAAATTGTTGAGTACAACTGTATAAAGATTAAAGACAGAGATGTTAGAAACTTAGGAATCTTAGGACTTTAGAGTTTAGAATTTCATAATGAACTCAAAGACTTTAAACTTTAAACCATAAGGTCCATAATTATAATTTATATCATTCATATCATAAAGTCATACACTAACAGATTACCAATAAGCAATAGCAACAATACCAACTGTAAAGTGCCACCAACTACCAAGTAAGCAAGTACCAACAACTGAACAAGACAACAACTTACAAGGCAACATTCCAAAAATTTAAAACAAAAGGCAAAAGTTATATCATAATTCATATAAAGAGATAAACATAAGAAAAACAAAAGCCAAAAGGTACGTATAGTTCATCTTTTGCTTCATTTCTTCAATCCATCATTCCTTGTTGGAATTCTTCAGTTGCTTCACTCCTTAAGGTAGTACTCTCTTCAAACTCTTCATCAAATGTCATAAGCTCTAACTCAGGCTCATTGATGGAAAGCTCCACAAGTTCCCCAAGAGTATTACCATCAATATCAAACTTATCACCACCTATTAAACAAAATAAATTAATAGTGATGTAAAAAAAAACTAAAAATGTAGTAAAAGAATATCTATGAAAGTCTTGTTGGAGATATCTAAATTTAAAAGTAAGTTTATGAACTTACACAAGTCCCAATACTTTGTTGGCCCTTCCTTGTATTCTTTCTTTTTTCTTGACAAGAGACGGAGGTTGCAATGTACAAAGACCAAATCCTCAGCTCTACTTGTAGTCAATCTGTTTCTTTTGATGCTTTGAATAAGAGAATATGTACTCCAATTTCTTTCGCAACAAGATGATGATACGGGCTGTGAAAGCAACATAAATGCTAAAGCTTGTAACATTGGTGTTGAAGCACCATGATTAGCCCACCATGAAATTGGTTCCTCATACAATTTTGCATCAATAACATGAGGCTCATTAAAGTAACCAGATCCACTTGAAAAAGCTCCATATTCGATATAAACTTTTTGAAGATCATTTTGATTGCTAAACAATCGTTTGAAACATTTACTTCTATTTAAAGAGACCTCTTGATCTTCATGTGGTGAGAGCCATGGAACTCCATCACTTCCACCTCTAATCCAAGCTTCAGTATAGTATTTAGGAACCAATGAATGAGCCATACAATGCAGTGGATTGTTACTTTTATTCCATCGTGTCTCCAAAATATTGTGAATGACGTCAAAGAAATTAGATTGGCCAGTGAGCAGATCTTGTTTTTCATGTCCAAATATTCTAGATTTAACTTTCTCAATCATTGTGTCCCACATATCATAAATCAAATGGAGAACAGGAGCATCAGTGTCTGCTAACCTTAGAAATTCAACAATAGGCTTAGTAAAATCCAAGAGATATTCCAAATCAGCCCACCAACTATCACTCACAATGGAAATTTTAACTTCCCTAGCCTTGATTTCAATTGCTGATTTTCCATCCCATTTTAGATGCATTCTCCAACTTGGATCCATCACCATCTTCTTAAGTGTATCCTTCACTTCCCTCATGCGTTTTGCCATAATAATGCTTGATGCAAATCTTGTTTCCGCTACTCTTAGCAAACCCAATTCCGAGTAATTGTTGAAAATTGAAAGTACCATGCCATGGTTAACAATGAAATTTCTTATATTTTGCACACTACTCACCAAATCAGCAATCCATTTACATTCAGCAAATTGAGGTGAATTTTCAGATGGTTCACAAATACTTTTTAAAGCTAAATTTAGGCAATGCACAACACATGGAGTCCAAAATATGTGAGGATATATACCTTCAATTATGGCCCCAGCAGCCTTGAAGTTACTTCCATTATCAGTAATCACTTGAACAACATTTTGTGAACCCACTTCTTGGATCACGGGTTTGAACAGATTTGCTATATAATCAGCATCCTTTATGTTGCCACTTGCATCAATTGCCTTTAAGAACATTGCACCACCTATTGATGCAGCCATTATGTTTATCAGTGGCCTTCGTTGTCTATCCAACCACCCCTCAGAACAAAGAGACATGGCTTTCTTTTTCCAAGTATCTTTTATCGGTTGGAGCTTGCGATTCACATGTGCTTTCTCTTGGGCTAGTAATGTTGTTCGTAATCTATCGAATGTTGGAGGAGAATAGCCAGATAACTTGCTGTTGGCTAATGTGAGTGAATATTTTCTGAAGTGAGGGCACCTTGCCAAGTTAAAGGATAAACCAGACGCATAGAACATGCGAGCAGCTTGCTTATCTGCCACATCTCTTTGTGCTACATTAAATGCATTTTCCAGCACTCCTGGAGTTGATGCCCTTCTTTTTTTGCATTGCAACAAATCTGATCCTTCAGGCAAGGACAAATAATCTTCCTTCTTTCTCACATTCAATTCTTCTTGAGCTTTTTTGCTTTCAGAATGGCCATGTTCCTTCTTTAATGCTTGAAATACATCATTATTGATAGATTTGCAAGCTTCAACCCCTTGATTAGGAATCTTCAATAAATGACTTCATTTTTGAATATGATCCAATAACCTTTTTGTTGCAGTAATTGCAAGACCAGGTTCTGTTTCCACCTCCACGTACTGGTAGGCTAATAACCTTCACATGATTCCATAATGGTTTTTCATCAAATTCTGACCCAGAGCTTTTGATGGTCGTAGGTTTGTCTTTCCTTTCCCTTTGATAGATTGTTGAGATGGAGAGGACATTGTATCCTAACTCTAAAGCACAAGTGTATATATTAAATGCATGATATATTTAATGAACATAATCAAACTTAAAAGAATAAATTATCAAAAAAAAATCTCAAAACTTAAAAGAATAAATTTATTCCAGTATCAGTTGTATCAATTAATTCAATTGTATAATCAATGAATGCATAAAGGAAATAGTACGTACGGTTACTATATTCTTGGCAAAGACAATTGATTCTAACTGGCGCCTTCCCAAGGTACTAAATGGTGGCTTTCGGTTTTCTGACTATTGGCAGACAATTGATTCTGACTTTTTCCTCTTCTTTTCTGCCTTACTAATTCTGCCATGAGAGAGAGAGAGAGAGAGAGAGAGAGAGAGAAAATTATATATACCTATTGTTATAAATTATAATAAACATAATAAAATTTAAAAGAATAAAATTATCAAAAAATATTCTGAAAACTTAAAAGAATAAAATTATTTATTGGAGGTGCATAAAATAAGATTATACAAGTATGGGTTGATACAGTTGTATAATCATACGAAGAGAGAGAGGGAGAGAAGATATATATACCTGTTCAAGGGTTGTTTGTGTTGCAGTCTTAGAGATCAGAGACGGAGCAACATGGCGCAGGTGCAAGAAGAACAGAGAATGAAGATGAAAATGGCGTAGGTGCAGGAAGAAGAGACAGAGAAGATGAAAATGGCGGAGGTGCAGGAAGAAGAGACAGAGAAGATGAAAATGGCGCAGGTGGCATGTAAGAATGGTGCATTGCTTTGAGCCACAAAATGCCAAAGTAGCATTTAATGAGTGACTAAGCCATCACCCCCAGCCTTTTGATTGATATAAAATCTAATATTATATATTAAGTTAAAAATTTTATACTTCTTGCTTACTGTAAGGGCATGCGTTTTGGAGGTGTGGTATTTCCAAGGTTGACATAAGAACTTAAAATTCAAACAATTTCATACCTGTTGAAACTGTGATGATGTGAAGTCAAAATTAATGTATAGAATTAGCAACATTAATTTAATAATTAATATTTTAATTCTTTACCTATAAATAATGTAAGCTATTCTTAATTAATGTGAAGTCAAAATTAATGTATAGAATTAGCAACATTAATTTAATAATAAATATTTTAATTCTTTACCTATAGATAATGTAAGCTATTCTTAATTAAATGATGATGTGAAGTCACAAAATTAGTGTATAGAATTAGCAACAGTAATTTAATAATAAATATTTTAATTCTTTACCTATAGATAATGTAAGCTATTCTTAATTAAATGATGATGTGAAGTCATAAAATTAGTGTATAGAATTAGCAATAGTAATTTAGTAAAAAATATTTTATTTCTTTACCTATAATGTAAGCAATTATTCTCATAAGTTCAATTTTTATATACTTATCTATTCATTACTATAGTCTCAATAGTAAAATAATGATTATTATAGTCTTGTGAGTTCAATTATTATACAGTTATCAATTGATCAGTGATCACTATAGTCTCGTTTGTTAACTATTAATTCCATGTGTTTAATTATATGGTTATATAGGATCACTATATTAGTATAGCCTCCTCAATTCAATGTATTTGATTGTATAGTTATATATAAATAACTATACTAGTGTGTGATTTTTAATTCCATGTCTTTAATTATATAGTCATATAGGATTACCATACTATTTTAGCCTTCTTAATTCAATGTGTTTAACCATATAGTTATATATGGATCACTAAACTAGTGTGAGATTTTTAATTTCGTGTGTTTAATTATATAATTATATAGGATCACTATACTAGTATAGTCTGCTTAATTTCATGTATTTAATTATATAGTCATGTAGGATTACTATACTATTATAGCCTCCTTAATTCAATGTGTTTAATTAGGACAAATATAATTCAATGTGTTGAATTATATAGTTAAATGTTTAAATATAAGCTTCTTTTTTTTTTTTTTTTAGTTAAATACTTAATTTTATTCTAATATTTTTGTAAATAAAATAAATAATTTAATGTGTAATTATTTATATAATTATCTTACTAATAATTGGGTATGTGAGATTTAAATAGAAAAAAAACTTAAGTAATATAGATTATTATTTTTTTTTTTTTGTAGGATATTTATACCCTTAAACATGATTAATGAGTAATAAGAAAATTATATAGCAATAAGTGAGTGTGTAAGCTACCAAGCTTTAAATATGGGATAAAAAGTTAATTAATTTAAATATAATTTATATAATATTTTTTAGAATATTTATAAACCTCAAATATGATTAGTAATTAATGTGAAATTAGTTTACTCTCAATATTTTTTATATGGAAGTTATATAAAAAAGGCATAAGTATTTATTTACCTTTTTTAATGGATTTATGAGATTTAATTATGGAAAAAACCTTTTATTATTTTAGACAATATTAGTTTTAGATTTCTTAATTCAATGTGTTTAATTAGGACAAATATAATTCAATGTGTTTAATTACTAAGTGTAACCATCTTAATTCCATGTGTTGAATTATATAGTTAAATGTTTAAATATAAGTTTTTTTTTTTTAGTTAAATACTTAATTTTATTCTAATGTTTTTGTAAATAAAATAAATAATTTAATGTGTAATTATTTATATAATTATCTTACTAATAATTGGGTATGTGAGATTTAAATAGAAAAGAAACTTAAGTAATATAATTTTTTTTTTTTTTCGTAGGATATTTATACCCTTAAACATGATTAATGAGTAATAAGAAAATTATATAGTAATAAGTGAGCGAGCTTTAAATATGGGTTTAAATATAATGTATATAATATTTTTTAGAATATTTATAAACCTCAAACATGATTAGTAATTAATGTGAAATTAGTTTGCTTTCAATATTTTTTATATGGAAGTTATATAAAAAAGGCATAAGTATTTATTTACCTTTTTTAATGGATTTATGAGATTTAATTATGAAAAAAAGTCTTTTATTATTTTAGACAATATTATTTGTCCACTTTAAAAAGTCAAAGCAAATAAGTCTTTATCTTTTGATCATTGTACTTTATATTTTTAAAAAACAAGAATTAATATTAATAAATAAATATATATGTAAAGTTATAAACTATTGTGTATTTTATTGTAACAGGTTTGTATATATTTTGTTATATTGATGATGGTAAAATAATGTACAAAGCCCAATGCCCAAAAATAACCTTGTCTAAATTATTATTCTAATGGACAAAAAGTGGCCCACAGTGTTTCCTGGGCGATATCAGAGTGTTTCTTGCACTGCTGGCTGACAATATAAACTCTGAAAAAAACAGAGAGGGAAAAATAAAAAATAAAATAAAATAAAACTAAAGAAAATATTTTCTATGAATACAAAATTACATAATTGTTTTAACTTATAAACGAAGAGTAATAAATAGGTTTTTTTTTTTTTTGGAAGGTAAATGTATTTTATTAAAAGAAAGAATTTACAGCAGGCCAAAGCCTCAACCAGTGGGCCAACCCATAAATTAAACAGCCCATAAGGCCTTACAGATGGATCAAGACGTATTCAGTCTAGGGTTTCCTAAACTGAAGAAGTCTAAGCCAAAGTCTCAAAGATCATCCGGTTCCAAGCGGTAACGCAGTAGCCGCACCGTGGTCAACAGTCTGGAGGCTTTGCCGGTGGCCGTATGAAGAAATCAGGCAGATCCCACGTGAGTATCATTCTCCTAGCACAACCAGAGTCTTTAACCACCATAGATGATAGTCTCTGCCTTATCAATAATAAATAAGGTTATTCTTGTCAAACCCCCCCCCCCCCCCCCCACACACACATATATATATATACACACACACACACACAAGAGGGAAGAAAGAAAAGAACACTCAGATCTTTTGAAGGGGCAAAAACGCAACACACACGAGAGAAGAAAGAAAAGAACAGTCAGATTATTTTTAGGGGCAAAAACGCAACGCAATGCAACAAATGGTTTAATTATAAGGCTAAAATTGTAAATTTACACCTATTTAATTAGGTTAAAATGGTCAACATAATTGTGGTAAGTGGGTTACAGCTGGTAACCCACTAACCACAATTTTTTTTATTATTATTATTATTATTATTATTATTATTATATATATATATATATATATATATATATATATATATATATATATACTACACACACATATATATATATACACACGTTTGTTTACGCGTTAGAACATGAAAAAGATGCGCCAAATAGGGTAACTTTCTATGCAAAACCAACGCGTGAAGAACCCTCGTCTTCTCTAAAACGTCTTTCCTGAAAATCTCGGCAAAACCAGTGAAACCAGTAATTTCCGACCACTGAAACCAAGGTTTTCTTCAATGGCCGTGTCCGATCTTGACCGTACAAGGTCGGATGCATATTCCGAGTCCTTGTCCGTGTCGTGTCGTGTCGACACGGACACCCTCGCTGGAAAGGACGAGTCCAGGTAACACAGGAGTGAGCACCCGCATGAATAGACTATTTATATGTTGGGCTTGTTTCACTGAGACCCCAATAGAGACTTTGTAAGTACCATTTAGATATCTAAAGCCCATGTGAAGGACCAGATAGTTAAGCCCAAGTCAACTCAGCTCCCAAGCCCAATAAGCCCAGGGTTTGGCCCTGATCTAAGGCGGTCGCCTAGGGCCTCAAAATCAACTCAGTGCTCAAGCCAAATAAGCTTAGTGCCGGCCCTGACCCAAGGCGGCCCAAAATTTATAGGCCCACGGATGATGGACCACCAGAAAATATATATATATATATATATATATATATATAGGGCAAATCATTTCAGCCTCCCCATAGACTCCCACATTTATTAATGAACAAAACTTGTCATATTCTTTGAGTGCCTTTTCACCTATCTGGTAGATTAAAAAGAAAGTGTATGCCCAACTGTTCTGCCAACTTAATGTGCTTCAATTTAGTGGCCCGTGGAAAGTGAATTCTTTGAGTGCCTTTTGACCTATCTGGTTCCACTTTTAATTCTTCTTGGGTACCCAACGGATAGCGAAATAATCAATGTTCTTCTCGGGTAAGGATAGCCAAATAAATCTTCCACAATCAAAACTCTATATATAGACATATAACTCTCTGCAACTGCTAAGTATGTTATTCTTGTTTTCAAACTAAATCCTATTTGGTGAAATTTTTTATGATCTTTTTTATATAATTTTTTTTTGTACAATTATTTATTATTAATTTTTTATTTTTGGGCAAATTGCTAGAAGATGGAACCCAAACAAATATCTATTCGATTCAGTACCGGTAACTGCTTTTCCTGATACTGTCAACCCGTTAAAAAATAAAAAATATTGGGTTGAGGTATCTGCAAAGCAGTTACCGATACTATTACGCTATTCAATAGATATTTGAGATTGACCCTATAAGGGCGGCTTTCCTGGCGAACCTGCATATTGGACTGTCGATCTGCAAGGGAAGTCAGTGAAAATTCTTATTCTCTGTTTGTAAGTATTAGTTCAACAATTTTTTTTTTAGATTTATAGATTTATTTACATTGGATTAACAATGTTTTGTTTTTGTTTTTGTTTTTAATAGCTCTTCGCAATAGAGCATGTGCCGGATCTGTGTAATTTATTTTTTGCTATAGACCGCCGACGGAGTTTCCTCTTTTGTTAGAGTGGGCTAACATCCTATAATCTCTCACCCAAAACAAGCATTTAAAATACACTAAAGAGGTTTTTCTGGCAACTCTCCGAAATGTGGAGGAGGAGAAAGTTTTCAATATCTTATTTGT